TTCTTGGGTTTGGCTCTGTCTTCGTTATTTATCTTTAGTTTGTTTTAAATTGGTTTCTTTATACTGTAGTTGTTTCTTCCTATCTCTTCCCGAGCTAGGCTCTTTGAGCGGTAGATAGTCTCTTAATCTCTTTTGTTTCTGGTGTTTTAGTGCTGATAGGCCTCAATATCTTTTTGTTTTATGTGCTTAATCCCTCTTGTGAGGGCTCTCTCGTTTTCTATTGTGTTTGTTGGGCAGTGGGCATCCCGGACTTTGTAGAGGATTGAGAGGACCCTCTACAATTTCCCAAATCAAAGAGTCTATGAAGACTCACCTCCCAGATTTTCTGTTTTTATCTGGAACTAAGAAAAAAGAAAAAATTGTTAAAACTGTGTGTAGGAGTTCTAAGTTTGAAGATAGATGGACTGTAGTTAATCCTGTTGGGACTAAAGGAGGTCTTTTATTGTGTTGGTCTGATAAAATTTTGGTTGAACAGATATTGTGTAGTGAATTTTGCATTGAAGTGTTGTTTAAATTCAAAAACAGTGATATGTCTCAATGGGGGGTTTTTGTTTATGCCAGTAACATTCCTTCTGTTAGACTAGCTCAGTGGAATTTCTTACTGAGGCATAGTCTGATGTGGGGAGAACACTGGTTTTCGGGAGGGGATTTTAATGATATCCTCTCCCATCATGAGAAGAGAGGGGGTTTAATGAGAGATGAGGGTAGCTTTAAGAGTTTTAGGACTTTGGTGAGAGGGCTGGGGGCTGTTGATAGTAAAGTGATTGGGCATCCTTTCACTTGGTCTAATCATAGACAAGGAGTGGATTTTGTGGAAGAGAAACTTGATAGGTTTTTCTTCTCCCCAGAGTGGTTTAGAAAATTTCCTAATGCTGTGGTTAGGCACATCCCCCTATTCTCCTCAGATCATTGCATGCTTTTGTTGGAGGTGGAAGGGATTGTGGCAAAGAAACCTAGAAGGTTTCTCTTTGATAACAGATGGACTAGGGTGGAGGGTTATCAGGATGTGATTTCTAATGCTTGGAATATTCCTGTTGGTGGGTTTAGTTTGGTTAGTATTCAAAGCAGAATTAGGAATGTGAGAAAAGCTATTCTTGGATGGTTGCCTTCTTTTCCACATAATTCTGCTAAGGAAATAGAGAAGCTGAAAGATAGAATTAGTGAGTTTGAGGAATTAGGGGCTGATAGGGACTGAGAAGGGTGGAGAAATTGTAGGAATAGGTTGCATCTATCATATAGGAATGAAGAAGTCTTTTGGCACCAGAAAGCTAGAAACAATTGGCTAAATTGTGGTGACAAGAATACAAAGTTTTTTCAGGCTTCTGTCAAGAATAGAAGAAAATGCAATGGCCTGGATAACTTGTGTAATTCTGAGGGCATTAAATGTAGTAGTGAGCAGGAGACTATTAGTGTGCTTGAAGATTATTTTGCCAACCTTTTTAGAACTTCTAACCCTTGTGTTGATAGTTGTAATCTTGAGGGTATTCCTTCTTCCATATCTCTGGAAATGAACATAAAACTCACTGAAGCAGTTTCAGAGAAGGAAATTAGGGAAGCCCTCAATGATATGCATAAGGATAAAGCCCCTGGGGAAGATGGTTTAACTGTTGGTTTTTTTGTTAGCTCTTGGTCCATTGTCAAAGATAAGGTGGTTGAGGCTGTCATTAATTTTTTTAATAGTGGGAGAATTCCCAAAGGGATAAACCATGCTATAATAACTTTAATTCCCAAAAAGAAAAACCCTTCATTTGTGACTGATCTGAGACCCATAATCTGTGTAATGTCATGTATAAACTCATAGCTAAAGTCCTTGCTAACAGAATTAAAACTGTCTTGCATGTGTGTGTTTCTCAAGCACAGTCAGCATTTGTCCCAGGAAGACAAATTTTGGACAATGCTATCATTGCTAATGAGTGTATTCATTTCATTAATGGTAAAAGAGCTGGTAGGGATAGATTTATGGCTGTTAAGCTGGACATGTCCAAAGCTTATGATAGAATCGAGTGGGGATTTTTGGCTAGGGTTTGCATTAAAATGGGTTTTTGTCACAAAGTGGTCAACTGGATTCTTGCTTGTGTGAGTACTACACTTTTAGTTTTAATGTGAATGGGGTCAATGCAGGTTTTGTTAATGCTTCTAGAGGTCTCAAGCAAGGGGATCCTTTATCCCCTTACCTTTTTATAATTGTGTCAGAGGCTTTCTCTAATTTAATCTGTCAAGCTAGGTCTAAAAAGGTTTATCATGGGATTAGAGTCAGTAGAGAAGCTCCAGTTATTTCTCACTTGTTCTTTGCTGATGATTCCTTATTATTGTGCAAAGCTGATGCTCATCATGCCAATATTATCTTGAATATCCTCAAGGAATATGGATCTGCTTCTGGGCAGTGTGTGAACTTGAGTAAATCTTCCATTTTCTTTTCCAAAAACTCTGATAATGCCACTATTTCTGGGGTGTGTAATATTCTGCAGGGGGTGAAAGTTGTTAAAACCTCTAAATACCTTGGCCTCCCTTTGGGGATTGGCAAATCTAAGAGAGAAACATTTCAGTTTGTGAGGGAGGCAGTCAAAAACAGAATTTCAAATTGGAAAAATGTGTATTTGAGTGAGGCTGGGAGAGAGATTCTGATCAAATCTATGATTGGAGCTCTCCCTACTTATATTATGTCTTGTTATAGGCTTCCTGTTTCAATTTGTGATGACATGTGTAAAGAAACAGCAAATTTTTGGTGGGGAAAAAAAGATAATGAGGGGGGGGGGAACAAGTTACACTGGGCTAGATAGGATAGGCTAGTTTTAGCTAAAGGGGAAGGGGGATTAGGATTCAAGGATCTAAGAGCTTTCAATGAGGCTCTCTTAGTTAAGCAGCTATGGAGAGTGATCACTATGCCTAATCTTTTGATGAGCAGGGTCATGAAAGGTAAGTACTTCCCTAAATCTAGTGTCTGGGAAGCTAAGGGTAGATGGGGGGACTCATGGCTTTGGAAATGTTGGTTAGGGGCTAGGAAATCTTTGAGGCTGGGTACTAAGTATAGGATAGGGGATGGCAGAAATGTTAACATATGGGAGTCCCCTTGGATCCCAGATATTGAGGGGTTTATTCCTCAGTGCAGATTTGCTGTGGATAGGGATAGATTAGTTAAGGTCAGGGATCTCATGGGTGAGGGTGGTCATTCTTGGGACAGGGAATTGATATTTCAGACTTTTGATCCTAGGACAACTACAGCCATTATCAATATTCCTCTTAATGCTTTGGGTATGAGAGACAAATTAGTGTGGCATGGTCAGAAAATAGGTATGTTTGCTGTTAAAAATGCCTATGATCTGATTCTTAAGAAAGGCAGACAGGGACATAGAGATAAGGGTTCTAGCAGTAATGAGTGGCAGATTAAGAAAATGTGGCAGGTTACTTGGAAATTACCTATCCAGAATAAACTTAAAAATTTTTTATGGAGGTGTTGGTTTGAGTTTGTTAGTGCTAAGCTGCAGTTGAGAAAGAGAGGTATGGGAGCTGAGGTGACCTGTGAGCTATGTGGGGAGGGGGAGGAAGATTTGAATCATATTTTGTTTAACTGTAAGAGGGCTAGGGTCTGTTGGAGGCTTCTGGGGGTGAGCTGGAATAGGATAGAAAATGGGGGTACTGATTTTGGGGTGTGGTGGGCTGAGATTTGTAATGCTTCCAAAGTTAACCACATGATTGATAGGATAAGTCTTTCAACATATATGTTGTGGTGGCTTTGGAAAACTAGGAATAGTTGGGTGTTTGAAAAAAATTGGGTTGGGGAAGTGGTGACAGTCCAAAGGGCTGTGAATGAGTGGCATTTGTACAAGAGCAGTGTTAAAAGCTGGAAGGGTAATGACAGGGATAAGGGTACTGTGGTGAATGGAGAGGAGATAGTGCAGTTTAGGTGTGAGGAGCTGATCCAGAATGGAGGGACAAAGAGTGGCTTTGAAGATGGGATTATGGTTGTTGTTAGCTGTTGGAAGCAAAATGGTAGATTGGGGATGGGGGGAAGAGCTTTTAGAGAAGACAATGACCTACAACTATGGGATGCATCTAGGGACTTTCATGGAAGTTCAGTGGAGGCCTATATTGTAGCAACTATGTGGGTGCTTGAGGAAGCAAAGAAGAAGGACTGGAAGAACATCATTTGCTATGTTGACTGTAAGGAGATGGTGGAGTGGACACAAGACTTCATAACAAATCAGAGAAGGAGGGAAGAACAGTCATATGCATTCAATCTTTTGGTGACTAGTTTTAACTCTTGTACTTTTAGTTTTAATGTTAGTATTTGTAAAGATTGTAACTTTCTAGCCAAAATGACTATTCAAGGTGATTTGTAAGTGTTTTAAATCATTCTGGGGTTCCCAAACATGTGTGTGAGCTTGTTAGGGGAACCATGGTGCCTAGTTAAGACATTTATTGTTGAGTAATTTTATCTTGTTTGTCGTTGGAAAAAAAAAAAAAAAAAAAAATAAAAAAATTAGCATATTTTCTTATTCTGTAGGATACATCCACCTAGAAAATAAGCCGAAAAAAATTCCAATTCTACTTCACACAACCAATTNCAAACAATACCGAATGTAATATTCCATGGTAGCCCAAATTTCAAATATTGGCAGCTGGGCAAGCAAAATACCACCATAAATATAATAACTTCAAATATAAAAAAAGCAAGCAGAATAAGGAACTGAATCTATGGACTATGGACGGGTTTTTAGGAGCAAACCAGCTCTGGCCAAACACTTGTTAACGAACCAGACTGAATCACGTTTTCATTTTGTTTCCTGGAAAATTGTTGGGAAAAAGCGACGCACGATAACATTAATCAAAACCAGATTGACTCATAACACTTTACAGGCACTCACAAATTCAGTGTAGATGAGACATAAGATGTTTTTACCATTGATCACCTTTACATCCGACCCCCCTATGAAATGAATGCTTCACAATGTCCAGCAGTCCTTTTGATTTTCTCAGTTCAATACGTAATGTCACAAAACCTTTGGTTGACATTTAAGTAAGAATTATTACAGCCTTCCCCAGTTTTTTATCCTGGGTTGAGATTTTACTAATGTCTTGCCAATCTCCAAAAACAGCAGCATGATCCACAAAAAACTACAAAGCTGTCCTGTCTTTGTTCCTTACCAAATATCACAATTTACCTTCTTAAGCTACTTACTGTGGTCTCATCCTATTTTGGCACCAAGAAATGTCTGCAAATACAAATTGAAACCAGAATACAGTTAATTTGAATAGCTAGCAAACAAAAAATCATATTTTGAAGAGCATTTTTAACACCGAAGGTCCACATTATCTAGAGCTGAATACATGTGACCAAATATTTGATGTTCCAAGCTCAGAAAAAGTTTTTTGAAAATGAAAATAAAAAATAAAAAAGAAGTTAGAAGTTTTACTATTAGCAGATAAGTTGAAGCTTTATTATTAGCAGGTTCATAGCACAAAACCTATTGCCTACATAATGGAGATGCTCCTTGCTTTACATTTTTGCCAGTATAGCCAAAAACCCACTAACATCACAACATAATGGACAAACAAATGTATACATGTATACAGTTTCGATAGAAAGAAGTAAAAAATTAAGCAGGCTCTATGGAGACAAATGGTCATTATCATTCGATGAATTAACAGACTGTAAAATCCACATGCATCTCATTACTTAAAACTATGCTATTTTTGACTTAAATCGTTTCAAGCTCTTATTGGTACCTTTGCTTTTGGTTGAGGAGTCCCTGGCTTAGTATTAGTAGTAGTTGTACTACCGAATCCAAATTTGGGCTTCTTTTCAGCGGGCTTTAGAATTTGAAAAGAGCACATCAAGGTTTCGTCCACACTCATCATGGCCCCTGCATTATCAAACTCCCCACAGTAATTCGGGGCAGAAAATATTGTCACCAGCTGCCTATCAGCAAAAAACTCATATCCATCTTCAACAACCTGTACCAAAAGTTCTCAATGTTAATTACAACCCAAATTCAACTATCCCCACTAAAAATTAGCAATACAAAACGGCTTAATTGCAAGAGAGGTTCTCTAATATATTAATATGGTGTAGCAATTTTGGCCCGATGACTTCAGTCTTAGAAAATTGTTTAAATGTTTGCTCAATCTCCAAATGCCATAGAGTGCCAGAGACAGAGTTCTGTAAAACTCCAATAGAAGTCAGAAGATAGATAAATTAGGGTGTGATTGGATATAAACTCTACACTAAAACAACTAATCAAAACTCAAATTTAACTCAACTTTAACCCAATCCCACTATCCTCCATATTAAATTAAACAATATCAACCAATCATTCTTACCCTATTCATCAACTTTAATTCATTATTCGTCCACTCACATAATTTTAACTAACCATCACTTTCAAACATTTTTCTCCTACTTTTACATCAAATCAACTTTATTTATTTTATTTTAAATATTATTTTAATATACCCACTAACAACTAACAAAAAAAAAAAGAAGAAGCAAAACGAAACCTACAGAGCCCAAAAAACAAAAAGCAGCATGACACACAAGACACAATATAAAAATGTCCGACACCTGGTGAGCACGACAGATAAGGTCAAGGTCGTGCTTCTCGAGAAACTCGGCCACTTTATCCGGGCCAAATGTGTAAGACACGCCTCTATCATTCATCCCCCACCCCTTCACATCTTTACTAGGGTCTGACCAAAGTAAATCACACAATAAGCCCGTTTCAGGTACGTCAGTTGGACGCTGTAAATTGCGAATCTGGTCCAAGTCTTGAAGGTCGGGCGAGAGCCCACCATGCATGCACAAAATCTTCTCGTCAATTAGAGCAGCAACAGGCAAACAGTTGAAACAGTCGGTGAAAACTTTCCAGATCCTCACATTGAACCTCCTCTTGCACTCATCATAGAAGCCATATATACGATTGACAGAGGCACATTCGTGGTTGCCCCTCAGTAAAAAGAAGTTTTCAGGGTACTTGATTTTGTAGGCAAGCAGAAGGCAGATTGTTTCTAGGCTCTGCTTTCCTCGATCGACATAATCCCCCAAGAAAAGGTAGTTGGATTTCGGGGGTAACCCGCCATACTCAAAAAGTCTAAGGAGATCGGAATATTGACCATGAATATCTCCTGCCAAGAAAAAAACTGATTCTGAGATTTAAACATTTTCTCATATCGTAAATTCTACCAATGCTATATATATATATTTCGAACTTTACTTTTTTTTTTTTTTTTTTTTTTTTTNNNTTTTTTTTTTTTTTTTTTTTTGTTGTTGTTGTTGTATACCAAACCAGACCTCAGAACTTTATTCAGGCAGAGAGAGGGAAAGAAAAAGAAAATTAAAGAAAAGCTATGAATTTGCCTACAGTAATGAGATGAGGAGATGAATCCCATATAATGTACCCAACTTGGTTAACCTAGTTCAGCATGAGATTTACTATGACACGTGTAATAATCTGCACTAGATGCTTGACATGTAAGATGCTGGCAGTGAGCGAAATGTTTTGTTGGGAATGAACAAGATATTGCTGATTATCATTGAACAGATATCTATCCTACATCAGAATCACAATCCCCGTTGAATAGCTGGATATACTAACAATGGTTCTAAAGATTAGGTGAATAATATTTAGAAATAAAGTAAGATGGAAAGAAATTGAAAATAACAGAAAAGTTCATTTGTTTGTTTTTAACCTCTCGACATTATAATCACCAATCTCTATAGTCAGACAGTTATATATTTTATGTCATGCTCATTTACCCCTAAACTGCTTGTTCTCGAAAGATAGCCAACAGTTGAGAAATTCTCACAATATCC